AAATAATTAGTAACTAAAGAAAGACCATTGGTAAATATCTAAACATCTGGTTTTTATCCCTGTTGCACAGCGCCGAAAAAAGAAGCGGGTAACAAGAGCGTCCAGTTTTACTTATAGCTTTAGTTGCATTCGGTTTGTTTTATATGTCGTAATTTAAAATCCAACAGACCCCTGGAAAAAAAGACTAAAATTCACTCATCAGTTCAAGGTATGGTTTGTAATTTGAGTTACTGTGAAGAAACTTGACATCCGTTAGAAAATAATGATAATTTTGTTGTTCGGTCGATGATTAGTGTTACTCTGAAAAGATTGTCTGGCACTAAAAGGTTTATGTAACAAAATATACATTATTCAGTTACGAAAGCATTCATTTCAAAGCGTACATACTGAAGCCGTTAAAAGCAACCGACCTACGTAATTACAGTCACTTAAGGCAACATTCGTTTTCTTTGTAGTTCAAATTAAGGCACAACTTCTCCATTTTATGTAGGAACTGAACATGAAATAAGAGTATAAAGGGAAGGTCCAAGTCTTTCCATCAGCTAAAATAATGATCGCAATGGTCGCGGAAGAAATGTTTACCTTTCAGCTGATTAGGGTATTCGAAAATTGATCATGGCTGAATGCAATGCTGTTGACGATTTGAATAGATCTCAATATTGCATCGTATAACCTCGCATGATAGCGACAATATAATGCTTTCGTACAATGATTTAGTTTTCTTACAGATTTTATATTGGTTGTATTTTCGTGTGCATTTTTATCTTTTGGTTTGAGGCACTAAGAATGTTTGCAGTACAGAGGTTTCCTCCCCTAATCTTTTTTTTTCTTTATTTCACTAATCTTCATTTCTACAAAAAAAAATGAGGTAAAGACCTCAGCCAAAGAGAACAAATCGCTTCCTCTTAGAATCTAGACCGGAACTCGAGGTTTTTCTATCGGTTGATAATGTTATCCAAATTAATAGAAGCCGGTAAAAAATAACGCTTGAACTGACTTATGTTATGGTTTTGTTCGGCAACACTGTATGCAATCTGACGAGCCTTCCAGGGTCTTCTTAATCATCCAATGGCATTGGTTTGGTTTAAATGAAATAAAATCATTAAATTGGTTTTCCAATTATAACCAGAGAATTTCAGAATCAGAAAAGAAACGTATCCAAACATATCTTTAACCATGAAAGGCAATCAATATTTTCATTGTTTTTAAGACGCCTTGGTTCTAAGGTAACTGTTAACTTTTTTTTTTTTTTTTTTTTTACCATACACAGACATAAATGGAAAATAGTTGTTTCAGTTACGTTGGTGTAATACACCTCGTCAGGGAGGGCATGGAGATCACTCTTCAAGAATTCACGACAAAGAAATTCTATTTTGAGTAAAAAACGTTCTCTGGTTAAGAATTTTAAAACATAAGCTTTCGGCTTTCAGTCTAAAGCCTTGGTTTATCATGTGTCCTACAATGCAGCTGCCGTCCATACTGGTAATAGGGTTATTAGTGTTAATGGCGGTCGAATTTGTTTCTTTTCTAGAGCAAATGCAAGCGTTTTTGTTTCACCTCTCACTGGGAACGCCTGCCATCCAAATGAAAAACCAATATTACGTAAATCAATCCTGAGAGTTGTGGTCAACTGATTCCACGTTGTTCATGAAGGAAAAGCATAATATGTGCAAAGCATAATAAGACAAGTGGTGACAAAACTAATAGTTTAGTTTTTTTTACCCATAGTTCATATTGACTGAACGTTATTAACAAGTTCTTGCGTTAAGGCTGTCCCTAAGATGATCGGCAGCTTTTGGGCAACTTTTTCGATTTCGATCAACTTTTCAATTTGAGGAAACTTTTTTTAATTTAGGGCAACTTCTTATGTTCTAAGACAGTACTGTAAAATTATAACTGACCAAACTGGCCTATATAAAGCACTTATGAAGCACTTTTCACCGTCACATACAGTATAGTTTTCTAAACAGTTTTACACATTGTGGGGCTCTGTCCGCACTGGTTTGCCTGTGAATTGAAAAGGCGATTCAAGGGGTGAGCGGTGGGTTGATAAATTCAAAATGGGGGAGTACGACTTCTCGAGTGTCACCGAAGAGAAAAAATCATAATATTGATTGCTGGGTTAAATAATCAAAGAAGATTAGTAAAAACATTTAAAAGAAAAATAAACGCTACAACATGACATTTTGACGTCATCTTGTCACCACTATCAAATGCAAATTTAAAACGTTCAGTTCAGATATACACTAGCTTAGGTGTTAAGGAGTCAAGAAATTTAACACTTTTACAGCTAATTTAACACTTTTGCCCGAATAGAGTCCGCTTATGTCTTTAATTTTGGTCTGTTTTCTTTGATTAGCAGCATGTCATAAATAGAGGATATTACACGGTGGCGAGAAGATATGAATTTTATGTTCGAGTGGCAAGAACATAAAATTCGTATCTTCGAGCCAACGTGTAATGTTCTTTTTATTATATGGAGAAACCAATTCAACAAAAGCAAAAGGCGGGATTCGTGACGTCATTGAACGATACGACACTCACAAAGGTGACATACGGAAAATACGCCACTCGGGTCCCGGATGAAGTGGCGTATGGAATCTACGAGTGGTTTAGTTCCCAGTAAAACACTCTTCTCCGTATAATAAATCAGATAAATCAGACATTCCAGCTTCCCGCTGCACCTCTTTAAGATGTTGAACTGTTCATGCACATTTGGTTGATCTTTCTCGAAGTTGTTTTCCAACAGCTGAGTATTGTGTTCATTAATGCGTTAAAACAAGTCGGTGTGTGTATAACATGAATGGAAAAGCTGGCTATTAAATGCTCAGGAGTCAAGGAACAGTGAAAAAAGGTTCTTTGGTAGGGTAATTAATAACTTCTTGTAGAAAATATTAAAAGCAGCTAACGTGAAGATTTTGGAGCAATTTTTGAGCAACTTTTTGAGAAATTTTGAGCATCATTTTTTTTACAAATTTGGAACATCCTAGGGATAGTCCAACCTTACGTTAACTTGTTTCCTAAATCCTGGTAACCGTGGTATCATCGTTAACAGAGGGGAATAGTTATGAAGCCCGACAAACTTCAAAGTAGCAAACAAAGATGCCAAGATTGATGCTGGAAGGTCCTTGACCGTGCACAATCTTTTGTTTTCCGTTCATACTTTCTGCAGGAATGACGTAAGCAAAGCGTTCCTTTTGGCTAGTTCCTCAGTGCGAAGTAAACAACTATGGTGTTTTGCACACGGTGAAGGCCAAAGAAAAACAGAACAAAAACATACAACAAAGAATTCTATGGGTTTCAAAACCATTCCTCCTTATTAACGATGGTGGTACATATGACAAATAATGAACATTTCATCGATATCTCGCATTATAAGACTTATTTAAGAGCAAACAAATCGTCCTGAGAAAAAAATTTTCTTTATCGAGAATTAAAGCCAGGGCTTGTCTAGTTTGGAATGCAAAGCCTTGCTAGTGGCTTATGCGCAAGCGCAAGAAGGAAGCTTGCCCAGATATGATGTGTACTTCGGTCCGGTTGTTCACGGAACTTATATTGAGTCTTCTGCTTATAAAATCTGTTTAATTGTGTTTTCGTGTTCGTGTAATGCATGTTTTCAACATGTTTTATTATAGACCGTCGCCGGTTAAACTCTCATTGTTGCTAAAAACAAAAGGATGAAGCATGATTAAAAATGCCATTGCTTTTGGTTTTCCTTAGGGAATTTAGAAAATTAAATAACGCAGCTAAATGTTAATTATAGGTTTGATCGCTTAAAGCGATACCATTGTGTGCACACCGAGTTTGCATGGTAAGGTTAAGCAGTGCTAACAAACTGCAAACTGCAAATCAGTTTGCAGCCAAGTAATTTAAATTTCTTAGGGAATGTTTTATTGTAGTTCCACTGTATTTAGTGTCTATATTAAAATTGGCAATTTAATTTCCGCAGGTTTGGTAGTCCAGCGGGTCGTTCTCTCGGTATCAAGCGCCGTTTTCAATGTTTGAGATGGTAAGATGCATTTGTTACTTGAACAGTTTAGTCAACGCGAATCACCAAGTAGCATTTGTGCGCCAGTAATTCGCCTATGATGTTATAAACAGAAGTCATTTCTCATAATTACATCCTTTTCTCGGGATACATTGTTAGAAAGAACTAAAATTAAATCAAAAGCCTCCCTGAGGGAAATAGCACAGATTTGCTAATTAAAAGCATTTTTTCTCTGTCTTCTATAGTTAAACATGGATTCTTCACGCTTTCTCTGTGAATAAATTATGAAATAGATGTATATATATATCCGCAGGGCTGTTATCAGTAAATTAAGGCATACACGAAAATGCAATTACAGAACAATTTTACGGGAAGTACACAATATTGGCTCTGAAGTTATCCGCAAAATACTGGATGTCTTAAAGAGGTAAAGAAAACATCATGACAAAGGAATAAATCGTTTCGGTAAAACAATATACTTTCAAGTACATTGTGTATATACCATTTTTTTCTTAAGGTAAGTATTTCCACTGTTTTTCTTTTCACTAACTTTTTCCTGCCGGCTTTACAGCAAAATCTTAATTATGGAAAAAGGATGTCACTGACAATGCCTCGTGCTTTTATTTCTAAAAATCCGGCGAGCGTTTTAACACATATGCCGCCAATATAAAATCTCCCCGCAGTGGTTTAGTGATTGTCATCTCCAAGAAATGATGACAAATTTCAGCTGTCGGCCAAACAGGTTTTTAAATTTCTTATTGACTCAATTTATTGGGCTTTTTTTTCTTGCGTTCTTAATATTCCGCTAAAAATCTACTGTTCATGAATAGAAATAAATTAAATGAAGCCAAAGGCTTCCGTAATTTTAAATTTGTTCGCAACTTGTGTTTTATAACAAATAGTTCCTATTGATGTACAAAGGGAGGCTCATAGCTTTCGTGGCTGTGTTTTATGCAATTAAATTATTAATTTGAAAAAGCAATTGCCAATAGAAGTTAGATTTTTTCCCATTCAAAGTAAAAAGATCACCATATTTTTAATATTCGTTGCGCCCTAATATTAGTAAATTCATATATTGAATAGAGAGAAAAAAGCTCAAAAATAACCAGCTAGAAAGCCCTGCATTTTCCGCGGAAGTGGCTCATTTCGTATCAAACTAGGACCGCGCACATTTTGCAATTAATTCGCTACATATCAACGCTGTGTTTGAAAGACAACAAAAAAATATCACTAATTATCCATCATTTCAGGGGATCTTTTACAAATTCAAGGAAAATGAATTGTAGCCTGAATAGCTCAACTTCTTCGCCCGGAGCAGCAAATGTTTCTCTGGGCTCATGGTTCGTGGCCTTTGGTGCTGAAGCTGTGATCATCGTGGTTGCTAATCTCATTACAATTTTAGCGTTCGTTTCAAGAAAGACCTCAAAGAAAGGGAAATTTCTTCTCCTCATTAACCTGTCCATCGCAGATCTTTTAGTCGGCGCCATTCCTCTTCCTTTATACTTGGCTTATCTAGGAAGCTTGTTGACATTTTGGCAGATTCAGTGGGGAAATGCTTTGAAAATAACATTATTTGGTGTGGATGTCCTTCTTGGATTTGCATCTGTTATGACGTTGACTGTGATTTCTCTGGAGCGTGTTTACGCCACTGTAGTCCCGGTTGGATATCGTGGTCTTAAGCGCCGAAATTACTGTTATTCCGTGGCAATGATTTGGTTTGTGGCTATTAGCATAGCCACTGTTTGCCTTGTAAGCAATTTTGTGCTAAAGTCCTTAGAAATCGCCACGTACGTGTCGATGTCTCTACTGAGCGTGCTCTGTTCTGTGATAAGTGTTTCATACGTTACCATATGGTACAGAATCAAGTCCAAAAGAAGAAACATGCGACAAAAGACAAACGAGTATGAAAACAAGTTGGCCTTAACCCTGTTTATCGTCACCATCACATCCCTCGCCGCCTGGCTTCCTTTTGTTATTGTCAACGTCTTGTTTGTGTTCTCGTCGGTTCAGTTAAGTTTTAATTTTGTTTATTTTTCTAAAGTTCTCCACTATGGAAACTCTCTCGTCAATCCTATTGTCTACAGTTTAAGAATGCCAGAGTTTCGAAAGTCGGTGGTAAGAATGTTCAGCCTGCGTTCCAGTCAAAAGCGACTAGCCGGTCATCAGCTTTCTAATCCCTGCAGTGTCACTGAAATTGGTCAAGATACTTTCCGATCAAATCGGGCAACACAGCTGTGTACAAATAGCAAGAAAACTACGGTAACATGGAGGAAACTCAGTAAAATTCAAGAGGTCTCCGTTCGTCTTGTCAATGAAGGAGAAGTACGGTGAAGAATCTCAGGCTGGAAATAAAACATTTTCTTCACGTTGAAGCAGATTAAGCATCAGATAAAACGGAACACCGGTTAAACTGTCAGCAGTGACGGATGTTATAATATCTTCATTTGACGTGTACCGGAAAACTGGTTCGTTTTTGTGTGTGTTTTTCTTTTCATTCCTAGTTCACGTTTATATTATTTACGTGCAGTACGTTCGTGAAATGATTCTTCTCAGTTCGTGTTTCGACATCATTTTAAATAGTAGATTGATAATCAGGGAGCGAGGCTGAATGTATTCAGATCACCTCGTCTTTGTATATAGCCAAGAACAGCAGTCAGACTCAAATTGGTTGAGCATGCTTGTATTTGCCTTGATAAGCCACTAAACAGTGCCACATGGACAGGTTATTGTAAAACTTGTTATGTCGTGGCAACTGCTGTTTTTACAAACTAATCATAAAAATAGACCAATTTCGATATATTAATATTCAGCCTAAAACAACAGACCTCAGCACGAGGCTCCGGGGAATAAACCCCACAAACTCTGTATTTATTCCCCGAAGCCTCGTGCTGAGGTTTATTGTTTTAGGCTGAATTTTGATATATCAAAATTGGTCTATTACAATTTCCTCGATTGTGATTGGTTTAAAAAACTCCTATTTTCCACTAATTCACTTCCCAAGTTGTTATCGGACAGTTCGATAAGCCAATCACATTCAAAATTGTAGTTTAAATCAGCCAATCACATTCAAAGTTGTAGTTACGTGCGTGCGTGCGTGCGCTTTTGTGTTCTTGGCGCCTAATTGCCGGTAGGAGGCGCGATGGCCTTAGAATGTTTACATCTCCTTTCTAGGTATTTTAATGCAAATTTTCCCTTTCTTTCATAACTTGGCTATTCTTCTTTTCTCGGAAATTGCAATTTTTATGATTAATTGGTAATAAGACTTCGTGTCGTCCAATTCGGTCTGTAATCATACTCGTGATAAACAAATCGGACTCCCGTTGCGCGGTCGTCCGATTTTGTTATAACTCTTATGATAACCGACCGAATTGGGCTCCACTCAGTCCTATTACCATTACTTATATCACGCAAGAACAAGGGAAAAAGTTCATTTCTTCACGGTTCCTGTTTTATTCCAGTTTCCCGCATGACCTGATCCGTGGAATAATCGCTTTGTGTTTGAACTTCAAATAACAGTTGTTGTATCTTATAAGTTTGTTTAAATTTCGCCCTGTATACATGTATCTGCATTTAGCACTCCTGCAACTGAGCAAAGAAAATGTCTATCTTTCTATCGATCTATTCGATTCACTGTCACTAAAATTTAATCTGTAAAACACGAGCCTAGGCAGGAATGAAATCGCATTTGCGCTCTAAGGGGTTTCCATGACAACAACCTTAATGTACTTGATTCCAACCCTCTCTCCACTGTCTCCTTTATACACTTCGAGAGAAAGTCCCTCGCTGAACATAAGTCGGTGACTATACCCAATGGCCTTGGTAAAACCTCCGTCGTGCGCGGTCTGGCAGAAGCCCTGTCGCTCATCCAACTTAAGAGTGAAAGCAATCTGACCAGGGTACCGGGAGTCATTTGTCCCGGGAGATTTATATTCAATATGCCTTATGGATGACAGGTAAGATACCCTTGGGATACCCTCCACCCCATAACAAGGTGAGTGATCGAGATAGTTCCCCTTATCACACACTTCAAAGCCAACAAATCGACTACCATCTGAAATACCATATCTTACATCGCTGTCAAATGTGTTTCCGATGGTGACGTCATGGACAACGGTAATCTCCATTGTTATCCTCGTGGAGTCTTGCAGGACTCCAGGAGCGATCAAAGGAATTTTGAGGAGAGCTGCTTCCATTACTGAGCCAGCGTTGAACGTGAGCTGATCGACGGATGCTGTATGCTGACAGTTGATGAAGGACGCATGTGTTTCAAACCATAAGGGCGTCATGTGGTAGATCTTGAAAAGTCCCTGAAAAGGTTGCGTTGAGAAAAACTTCAGTTTCCTTGCGGGAAAAATGGAACGATACAGATGTACATACCTATCACAGTTTGCCTCTCAATTAACATTGTAAATGACGTCCTTCATGGTTGATGTAAGTCATTAAGAAGAACCGTTCTCAAAATAACTCTCAATTAAGCTCATATCAAAATTCTGCCGGGCGGTACTCTCAGGTACAGAATTCAAATTCTATAACTTCCATGTGCGTTTATTGAAGCACATTTTACTAGACGAGAAACTGGTCACTCTTAAATCAAACTTTACCGAATGGTAAGTGTACTTTTTACAGTTTTCCCCCCAAAAAATATACTAATAAAAAAGGCAAAATTATTGCTCTGCTTATTTGCATTTTGTCCTAAATTATGATCATTTTGTTTGCTGATAACAGCATTTTTATTCTTTTTTTAAGTAGGTATCTTTAAGGTAGTTCTTTACATAAGCCTTCCTTGATTATTTTGTAAATATATTTATAAATGACCAAAGAATAAAACAAAGAAACAAAACCGTCTTAAAACAGTTTACCTCGCTTCCAAATTGTTCTGGTTGGAAAAATGGAACACAGAAAGATCCATTTGAAAGTTGCCGTACCTGTATTAGAAGGTAAAAGAATTGTTACTTTAGCTATATTCAGGAAATGGAGCGCGCTTGAGGAAAAGTAGAGCACAAAGAAATCTGATATTATCACAAGCGAAAGCGAAGGAATGAGTTCTTTATAACTAAAAGTCATTGCCTCCCTCTTACAAAGGAACGAATTTACTCTCATGGATAGGGGTACAATGAATTATTTTAAAATACACTGGACAGTCGCTGGGGATGTGAACTTCCAAGCCATCAAAATTCACGTGGAAAACAATTGGCATACTCCTTCAGTTCAGTTGGAATCAATCTTGCAATCGGTCCATGTGCGACCCTGTCGCTTAACAAAATACAAAATAACAAGGTTCCTGATTTGAAAAGGTTTTCGATAATGTTTCTCTTAAATATCTGAAAGGAGAAATCATTTAGTGAGAGAGAACCTCCCGACAAACTTAAGAGCGCTTGAATTTTGTGACGTCTTATTTACATGATACTTTTATATATAACTATTATTTTCATAATGTTTGTAATTATTCCCTGAACAGTTTTTTTCGGAATAATTTAGCATTTAGACTAACTTGAACAGGTTACGAGTGTCATGATATTATTCGGATATTTCTTGAAAATAGTGTGAATTAGAAGTTGCTTACTGAATTAATAATACGAAGAAGTACACTTGCTCCCAACACGTATCGAATGACAGAATTGAACCCAAACATCCTTCGACTGTAGCAGATTCCTTTGTGAAAGTTTCAGATTTAAACCTTTTTACTTTTATTCAAAGCCGCTTAAGCTTTGAGGTTGATATGTCGGTAGTGACTGGTCAGACGCAATAATTTTCTCTTTGTTCCGTGACACCAAAATACAAAATTTGTATACAGGTTCCGATGATTGCACTAATTCGGAAAATTTGATCATACGTCATTTCCCATTGATGATCAAATTGTTAATTCTCAGGAGCTGCATGTTCGCCTGTGTATTAACATTTTCAAGAGAAGCGAGTAGCTGATCATACAAAGTCCAGCCCAGTGTTTGTATTTAAAAATTGGACTTGACTTAAAATGTCAATTCAGCTGCTCAATTTCCATGGCAAAAGCTGTTCGATTCACACCGTGCATAAATACAAAAGAAACACCTCTATATATATTACACTTTGAATTGGCAATTGGTATTTGTAAATTGTAAAAAATGTGCGTAACAATTGATCAAAAAATGATAATAAAAGGTATTTGGTAGTATATTTAAGTCGTCATTAATAAAATAGTGAAACACTAAGGTATTGAATCACTATTTAGAGCTATTTATGTACAAAGACAGTAAAACTAAGCCTCACATTGTAGAAATCAATCCTGGCATCTCTAGAAGTAGATGACTGCTCGTGTCTGTTCCTGCGCGAGGGAGTGAGATCACAGGACTTTGGTTCTGCCGATCATCGCATCACCGCAAAAACTTTGGCAAATACCGCAATACCGCGAAAATTTATCAAAACCCTAACGTCATGGGTGACCTACACAGATGGTGGCTTCGTTGTCACGAAGGCAAAAAACGAGACAAAAAGCGGCAATCGGCAGGCCGCGACAACAAGTCCTAGATTCAGATTTTTATTGTTTTGCACTATTTACAAAAATTATAACTTTAACAGTATTTACAGAAATTACATTAATTAAAAAGAGAAAAGAAATATAACAGTAAATAGCCAAAATGAAATGAGCTCAGTGACCAAAGTAGCATAGGCGTTCGTGATGGTCATTGACACGTACAAGCAATTGACACGACATATCAAGTATATTAATTATCAAAAAAGTACAAGAGGAAAAAATATAAATATGAGCAATAAAACGCGTAAGAGGATGGCAGAACGTAGATAAGCTATATGCAGAATATAAGCAGGCTATACAGAAGAGTAGGATTGATTGTTTAAAAGGTATAGTTTATATTGGTTGTAAAAGGAAGTGTAAGGCAGTTTTTTAAAGTTCGTTGGAATAATTTCCCAAAGTTTAGATAAACAAAAGCGAAATTAGAGGTCCCATAGTTATTATTTGCTTTTGGCCTATGAAAATTTAATTTAGAAGCAAATGTGGTATTGTGGGTATGTATCTCAGAGGCTCGAGTAAGGGTTCTATGGAATGTTGTTGGAATGTTTGTTGAGCCATTTAGAATTTTATACAGCACATGCAGATGCTGGCCAAAAAGCTGACCGATAAGACACATGATGCACTCACTCAATAATATACAATCTAATCTCTTGTATCTCCAACCGGCGGGCAAAGCTTGCAAGCTAGGCCTCCACGATACCTGGCGGTGAAATGTTTGCCGATAGTGGCAAGTTTCAGGTGAATGTCCGGTTTCAAGTGAAAGTCCGGTTCAATCTTTCAAATGAACGGCAGAAAGGCCAAGCTCAGTGAATTTATACTCACTGACTTGGACGATGCTGTTGAGCGGCGAAATCACTAACTCGCTCGCAGTCTGGTTTGAGGCGGAAAGCTTTGCCAAACAAAATACAAAATACTGGATAAATTTAAATCTTTCCAAAGCCTATTGGTAGATTCGCAAGAACACAACGCCTCCTCGCCCCCAGGATTTCGCGCGGCTATTTTTTCTCGCGGTTTTCTTTCGCGTCACGCACGACGGACTAAGCGAAAAAGGGACTACTCGTAGTCTAACGGTACACTAGCTCGTGAGCATTTAATTTCGCGCGGCCGAGCTCAGCTTGAAGGAAATCTTTTAATGTTGTGTACGGTACACTAGCTCGTGAGCTCGCGCTAATGACGCGAAAATCGTGCGCAGTAGGGACGCGCAGTGAAATTCTGGGGAATCAAGGTTTTTCGTTTCACGGACCAACAACAACTAGCTTTATTTGTATGACCATAAATACATACAGTGTTGTAAAAGCTTTTATAAACTAAATCTAAAACAGTAACGATAATCGTGATCATATAATAATGTTATGATATAGCAGTCAAGTTACATTGGTTTGATTTGAAAGTAGAATATTGCGTAACTCAAAGCAAGATGACCTAAATGTTGCTAATTGAATATTAAAATATTGGGGGTGTACCTAATTGAATATTAATATAAGGGGGTTCCACAAGGAAGTAATAGATCAAAAACGAGTGCGAGTTTTTCATCAGGGGTTCCAAACACCGAGAAACAGATGAAAGCACGACGCCGAAGGCGGAGTGCTTTCATTGTTTCGAGGTGTTTGGAACCCCTGATGAAAAACGAAGCACGAGTTTTTGAGCTGGCTTCTCAAAGTAGCATGAGAATTTTTTTCG